TACTTAGTTGATCATGGTAATGCTTAGGAGCTAGTGGTACAAGTAGAATCACTTTTTAGAAAGGATAATTTTATAGTATGATGGTGAAATTTTGAGGTTAAACTTCACTCACAGCATTGAGAATTTGGTTATAATGGAGTATGAGGAAAATCGAAAGCTGGTATTTGCTAACATTTGGCAAAATGGGGTTGGGAAATATTTCAAGTTTAAATTTGCTGCATGGAACTCCTATAAACATTGTTTATGCTAACGGGGTATGTACTTGTGTGTGTTGCTTTTTTTTTTCCCTTTCTTTTCCTCCAGAGATTTCCGGATGAAGTTCTTGATTTAGAAAGATCAGTCCGCACTGTTGATTTCACTCACAACAAAATAGGTAGTGCTCTTTTAACATCTAAAATGATATGATGTGCTTTTATTCTCATTTAAGTACCTATTTTATCCCAAACACTAGCCCATTAAAAAACATAACTTTTTGCCCACTTCTTAACACATAGCACGGGGCACGAGATGGCATGGTCAAGCACGGTCATGCATAGCTGTGCATGATGATAAACATCTTTGCATGATGGTGCATGATGCTAAACTATTTGGTTCTAATCATTACATATCAACCTGTTTTCCAAGCACAGTCGTGCATGGCCGTGCATGAAGACTTTAAATTTTTGACATGGCATGACAGTCCCTGGCCATGCCTAGTTGTGTACAGACAGGTTTAGAATTCAACATCGAAAGTGGGCAAAAAATATGTTTTTCTTTTTCTTTTTGTTTCTCAGTTGGAGAAAAAAAAGAGATGTTAGGTTTTTGTTTTTCTCTGTCTTTTTTTACTTCAATTTGCATTGATGGGTTTTGTCGACACGCATGTAATGCTTAAATTGATACTCGTTAACGTATACACTTGAGGTCCCTATGTCATGATCACTGCAAAATGTTGATGTCGCACATACTGATGAAATTGGATTTCTTTCTTTTCTCTTTTGTATTTCTCATCTCATTGCCTTCACTTTTCTAATATCTTTTACTATGCTTTTGACAGTTGATATCCCAATGGAAATAAGCAAATTGATTAACCTGCAGAGGCTGGTAAGAATTGCAAACGTCGTTTGATTAGTGTTTTTCTTTTTTTTATGTTACTTTATCAATACATACCATCACTATTCAAGTTGTGAATTATTTCATTCATGATCCTACGATTTCATTTAAGAGATTCTTAATAGAGACAGAGAAATAAATAAATGATGTGTGTATTGGAAATAAATATTGTTTGACTTTCCTTTAAGCAATAATTTTTTGTGGAACTTGTAATGTAATGGATTGATTAGCGAGTTGAAAGATCAAAGGGAAGGTGGGATGTTTGGGCCTACTAGATTTTGATAAAAAATTTCCTTAATTTTTTGAAGTTCTCTAGTTTTTTATATCTCGCCATTAAACCATTTCTATCTAGGTTCTTCTAAGATTGTAATTTGACGTATATCATAGAATGCATGAGGATTCATATTGGATGTCTTTGAAAGGGATAGGGACAAGTTCAAATTATCTACTACATGGGAAAACTTCTTGTAGTTAAATAGCTCTCTAATTAGCAAGAAGACCATCTAATTGTTTTATCACTTTGATGGGTATGTAGGTGAGAAAGATAATTAAGATCTGTTACGCTTTCTTTGTGCATTTACCATGGATAAGTGCAATTCACTCTGAAGGTGGTACACAGCCAACATAATTATACATTATTCAGCCACTCATTTTTGCAGATATTAGCTGATAATCATATCGAGCGTCTTCCAATGAACTTGGGGAAGCTTCAGTCTTTAAAAGTTTTGACACTTGATGGAAATCGAGTTAGCACATTGCCTGGTGAAGGTAACTTTCATGCATGACGTTAGCCCATGCAGTTGGTTTTGTGGGTTGAAAATTCCCTTATTATAAGCTAAATCATTAATAATTTAATGAATTTGCTTTTATTTCAGTGGGTCAACTGGTGAAACTGGAGAGGCTTTCAATATCTAGAAATTTGTTACAAGATTTGCCTGATACTATCGGGAGCTTGCGTAATGTGAGTAGCTGATTTGTTATTTTGGAATATCTTTATCTATTGTCCATTGCATATGGAGCTGGAAGAGTCATTGACAATTCTCCTGGCATAGTGCTAATAATGGACTAGATCAAAATGGCTCAATTAAATTCTAGTGCTTCTTGTATTAGTGAAGTTTCTAGAAAAAATATATCAAACGACGCAACGACTTTGGGTCGCTATGGAAACAGCCTCCTTGTATAATTACAAGGGTAAGGTCTGCGTACAACTGACCCCCCAGACCCCAACCTGTTGGGAATATACTGGGTATGTTGATGATTGATGATGAATATCTTTATCTAGCTTTTTCGAATTCGTGCAATGACACTAATTGCTATTTGGCTAGATAGCATTATGGTAATACTCACTTTATTGGCTTCATTGGTCATGTTGATATATGGTAACTTTTACATCACTATCTTTGTGTCACCTGTTATTTGAAGTATGACAAAATTTCGAAAAAGATACGGTAAATTGGCTAATGGGCAGTTACCATGTATACGTGTGGGTTGGGCACCCTCTCCCTTTGAGCTAGATTTTTGGGATGAACGTGCTCTATCTAGGCTCATTTATCAGTGTATCTCTTTTGAAATTTTACTTGTGAAGTTTTGATAATGGGGTATTGACTTGCTCGATGTGGTCTTGGAATTGCCTCCTCTGTGCTTTTGAAGTCATCATATGCTATGTACTCTATTAGTTTCATTAATCAAATGATGCAAATCCTTGGCTTTGCAGTTAGTGATATTAAATGTGTCGAACAACAAGATAAAGTTTCTTCCCGAATCGATTGGTAGTTGCTTTTCTCTGGAGGAAATTCAAGCTGATGGTAATTTTGGATCTATTCATTGGTCATTCTTGCGTTGATGATGATTGTCACTTTCATGGGCCTTACCTCGGAATCTTGTTTCATATTTCTTAGTTTGAAAATGTGTAATCTGATGTAGAATAATAGAGTAACTCTAGTTATAAGGTTTCTAATTACACCAGATCTTATTCAAAAGGAAATATATTATATATTTAGGGAAAATTAGTAAATATTTCTAGAGTTTTAGATACTAAATTAATAGGCTAGTTTTAGAAATTTTTAAGGAATTGTAATGTAAAATAAATAACGGACTTCACTTATGACATTTAAAAAAAAAATATGCATAAGAATCTTAGCAAACATTGGAGAGTGAAGTAAGGCTGGTTTCAAAATTCAGAACCTTAACTAGTTCTTCAGTGGACGGTTCTAGGCTGGTTGTAGTTCGAAACTAGTCAGTTTTAGTCTTGCAGATCCTTCACTTTTCTTTGCATGCACTTTTGTAGTTTTCTTTTATTTCGTGCCCTCTTGATTTTTTTTTATCTCAACATATTTTAATGCAGACAATTTTATGGAAGAGCTTCCATCTTCGGTGTGCAATCTTGTTCATCTAAAATCGCTCAGCTTGAACAATAGCAACATGAAGCAGGTTTCACTTTAGATCTGGACTTGTTATTTTTCTTAACTTCAGGTTTTTTTCAGTAGGTTGATTTTGTCAATTAACGTATTATAAACCTTACAGATACCTCCAAACTTACTGAAAGACTGCAAAAGTCTACAGAACATATCCCTGCATGGCAACCCCATCTCGATGGATTATTTTCAAAAGGTATGATAGCAATACATTCTAGCAAAAGTGGTGGTGTGGCCATCCGGACTTACTTCAGTAATTTCTGAAAGTGATCTTTTTACCCGTCAGATGGAAGGATTTCAAGATTTTGAAGGCAGGAGGAGAAGGAAGTTTGACAAGCAGATTGACTCAAATGTTATGCTCAATTCCAAAGGCCTTGATGAGGGTGTTGATCTGTGAATGCTTGCTGCTGCAATATATAACATGTAAATCTCTTGCAATATATGCAATTAGAAGTCATCTGCTATCTGTTTCGTTTCACAATTTTTTTTGAGGCACATTACGTCAGATAGTTCCGTAAAATTAAATCTTTAAATAAAAAAAAAAATCCAGAAAATAACTTAATTGGTATCTGAAAAACAAACAAACAAACAAACAAAAACAAAAACAAAAACAAAAAGGACAATCCTTTTCCTTCCATTAAAGAATCTTGGATTTGAAGATATAATCTTTATGAGTTGGGTGGACTTTGCAATGATATAGAAAAAGTGAGAAGCAATGAGAAAAACGATCTACTGGTTATTATGCGAAATGTTGTAGTGTTTCTCATTTTAATACGACTTTGTGTGTCTGCGCAGTTTGTGAAGTAGCTGTTGTGGAGGCGTGAATATATTTGAACCGAGACGAGGACCAACATGTGGTTAGCCATTACTGGAGATTTATTTATTATTGAGATTTTAGTGCTCTATCTATGTACAAATGCCGCTTTTCCTATATTTTGATTGGGATTGTGTAATAAACTGCTGGAAAGGCAAAGCTATAAGCCCTGAAGTTTTAAAAGAACAACAATCTGTAATATATGAAAACAATATTATTATCATTGCCTGTATTTTGTATACATGCATACAGTAGTCTATTGCATTTCAGGTAGTTGATTACTGGAACATCCATTTTGGGGTGAAAGTTGCCCAAACTCGTTATTCGAGGGACCAAACTGAAACAAAAATCTTTATGGAGCCACTATTAGAACCCCAGATATTCATAGGACCTAACTGCTATACCTCAGAACTATGGATTTTACCTTTACCTTGAAGGAGTCTTTTGCTGCATAATTAACTTGGAACCCATTTTTGGGTCTTGGCGGCTTGTGATGAGTCGTGAACCGAACACATCAATCATGCATAGGGTTGATACATGAAGGTACAAAGAGATGCATGAGTTGGTGAGGTATATTTAGTTCAAAACCTATGTCGTGTAGGGTTTTAGGTTCGGTATTCTTGTAAAATGGCCACAAAAGAGCTTTAATGATTTGATCATCTTCTTCTTCATCAGAGAATTTTGGTATGGGTTGTGGTCCGGACCGAGGCTCGTCGTTTGTAGCAGCAGCAGCAGCAGCAGCCTCCGGCCATAGCATGGCTATTGCATCAGACAAGTACTGATCGTCAAGCTCTGGAAAATGAAAGTCATCAACCTTTTTTGACATGTTAACTAAATCTTAAAAGAGAGAAAAAAAAAAGGGGGTTTTGACTCTATTTTTGTGCATTATGATGGAGACATTAACTTGACATATATAGTTTTTATAAATCTATATTCATGATGCATTTTTAGTAAATTCTTGAATTTTTTTAGTAAATTTTTGAATTTTCTAAAATTTTGAATTCACCTGGGAAAATTGATTTCAAAATTTTGGCATATTAGGAAGTCTCGGCATAAGGATACATGTATTGGGATAAAACTTAAATACTTACTATGATGAGACAGAATCTCGATTTTATTGGCATTTTTTAGTTGAATTCTTTCATTTGTACATTACACAATTTTAAATAAATTCTTGTATGCTACATTACAATTCTAGAACTAAATAAATTTACAGTTTACCATGTTTGATTATGAGATTTTAACTCAATGTGGAGGGCTAAACAAGTAATTTTTTAAACATTTGTTTTATTCAGAAGGAAATGACTGCATATTTTGGTGGAAAAAAACAATTTTTACAACACCAAGGTTCACATTTTCAATTGGAGTCATATTTGATATTACCTTGCACTCATAAATTATCCAATTATCAATTAATTTATTATTCATTTTTTTGCAAATTTAATTTAGTACATTCATATTTAGGAACTAAAGAAATTTGTGTATCATAAAATTTTAACTCAATGGCTACTAATCTTTCTAAATAGTATCTAATTGATGGAAATGTTTATAATTAGAGAAACTAAAAAAAATGTATTTCTTAAAAATTTAACGTAATTTGCTATTAATTGATAATTACAAACCGACCAATGCAACACCGCAAATTGTAGCACACAAAGAAACGACCAATCCGTTCTCTCTCCTGGCCACGGTGTGCATGAATAAATATGTCCACCAATTAATGTGAACAAGAAATTAATATATAATAAATGGCAGATATGGTGCTCAACGATCGTAAAATTTTGAGACTCGGCTAATGGACACATCATATCGTGCCCATCTGAGATATGTGAGCATTTATGAACTGATATCACTCTATGCTATTTCACTTTTGCAATTCAAATTTGTTACTCTTTGTTTCAGTTGCAATTTATTATAAACGATAGGTCTTCTGTTAGGTCAATCTAACTATTAGGTCAACATACTCTTTTAAAAATATTCGTAGTTTTATTATAAAATATTATACTTTAAAAGATACCATAAAAACAAAATATGATTTTTGATAGTATATTTATACATTTTTTTCTATAAAGTATGACGAGTCGATCAAACTATTTATGTTTATTCTTTTCCACTCCATAAACTATGACGAGTCATGATGCAAGTAGCGTTTTCCAGCTTATACTTCACGAGTTCACGCCACACAGTAAAAAAGCTTCGATTTTTACAGAACCACTTCAAATCTCTCTCTTTCTCTCCCAAATCAAATGAACTGAATTTTCAATTGTGGTCAAGAAAGAGGCGCCACAAGCTGAGCTCCTCCAATAAGACGTCATTAATTCTTCTTTCTTCAAATTCAGCTGACCGCTCAGATTTCCTTCTGACCCTTTTTTTTTCGACTTAAATTTGAGTTGGGTTTCCGTAATTTTCAAGAAAAATCGTAACTTTAATGAGTATACTGTACAGTATACACAGAGCTTGAAGTTTGCATCTTTGAACTGCTGTTTCTTGTTCTCGATTCAGTTACCTTGAGTTTTCGGGTTTTGGGCTGACTTCGTTTCCTGTGGACATTTGCATAAGATTTTCACTTAATTTTTGTTTTTAGTGGCTGGGTTGTAGGGCGCTGTAGATTGTTTGATTATATGGGGTATTTTTTTTATTTTTATGTATCTGTTCGATTTTCGACGTTTTCCCTTGTGTTCGTTGTTTCTTGTGATGTTTATTTACAACATATGCCTGACAGCTTTGATGATTTCTTGTATATTTATATTACTGGGTTCTTTTGCTTAGCAGATATTCAGTAGTTCTCATAGTTTGGTCAGTGGTTGTTGCTTAGCTACATCCTTGGATGTTATTTGATGTTTTGTTTGATCATTTTTTGAAGTATTTGTTTTCCTCTTAAAGATAGAGTACACGAGTTGGGCATTTGGCATAGATATTATCGTTGGTTTACATGCTTGGTTTTTCTTTTTCTCTTCTTCTACAGAGTGTTTCTAATCACAATTTGGCTTCCCCAAGATTTCTCCTTAGTACCAAGGCTAACCCTTTTGATTCTGCTGACGAGTTGGATAACAATAGTAACAGAACTCGTAAAAACTCTGGCTTAATAATATCTAGAGAACCTTCTATTGACGTGGGCACGAATCCTTTTGATGAAAGTCCAATTAAAAATACCTCATTGGCTGTGACCTATCTGTCTTCGGCAGACAAAAGCAGATACCAGAATGATTTGGAGCATGACCTTAGTTGGGTACGTCCCGCATCAACTTTTTTAATGTTATTATTCTCTGATGATTGATAGATATTTGACATACTATAATTTGGCCAATGCATGGGTTTGAGCATAAGAAAAGTGATGATGAAGGTAATGGGACAGGTGTGTGAGAATATGAGACATTCTCTGTCACGGTTCTCGAGGGCCCCGTCGTAGGTCATACTGATGAGGCCGATTTGAAGTTTACATACTCTAGTAGTGCGCAAATTGTTTTACCATCAAATTATATTAATCTTAAAGATATCACTGTTAAACATATCAACTTGACTAAGGGTGATGTCAAGGCCTATTGCTTGGTGACCCTGAACTTCAGACATCATTCGGTTTGATTCTTTACTTCCTGCTTACTGGTAACTTTAATGCCATTCAAACCTACGATACGGGTAGTATAAATATTTTCCCGCAGATTGCCTGCTTAACTTGTCAAATTTTACGTAGTCTTATTTATCGAAGCTCACCTCAGACCTTCAAGATACCTGTTTGTGGTGTCATTATACGATTCTGCAATGCTTTTTCCATGTGTGCATGCCGATTTTCTATTGAATTCTAACATGACAGGTGGAAAAGGTGAAACCAGATGTTTCCCTCTTAGATTTAAGTAATCTTGTGCTGGAGCTGAAGGATATGGCTGTGGACATGGGATCTGAAATCGTTAGGTTAGTCGTTTTGTTTTTTTACCTCATAATTGTCATCGTGACTTGCATTTGCTAGCTTTGCAGAATCAGTTTGTTATAACAATAATTTTTCTTTTATCTATGGATATTGACCGAAATTCGTATTTTCTTTTTCTTTTCCTTTTATCAATGTAGGCAGAAGAAAGCCCTGGATCGTTCAGGATGATCTAGACGAGCTGAATTTTCGTGTCAAATGTGCCAATCAGCGCAGTCATCGTTTACTTGGAAAATAGAAGATTGTCATCGTTTACTGTAATGTTTTTCCTTTATATTACCAGCACTTGTACTTATACGGATGTTCACTTAAGGTTCAGATGTACTTACGCTCACTTGTAGTTATTATTTTTGAAATGTTGTATTCAAACTTTTGTATGAATTTGACAGTGTGTGCCACACGTGTTACAACAAAACTGGGTTGACTTTGGTTATTAATTTCATTTGTGATTAATGGAACCCTATATTTTATATAAAATTCATTGTTTTCTCGACTGTGAAGCTACTCTGCCAAGTGCCAGTAATTTCTGCCCCGTTAAGGTATTAATAAATTACTGTTTTGTGCAGCCAATTGCTAAGTATGTATATAGAATTTGAGCCTTGGTTTTGCTGTTCTTTACATATAAAGCAATAACTTATGACAGGCTTTGCTATTATCTTTAATACTATGAATTTTTATGTGATCTATTACTTAACTTTCATACGTATGTTAATTTTTATTTTTAGAATGTGTATCGTCTATTTCTAGTTGTAGTTTGTGATTTTTTTTTTGTATTGTGGTGCATCTTGTTACAGATGATATTCTTCGATTTGGAGTGAAGGTCCGTTGGTGATTTCAAATAAGTTGTAAGTTTTAGTATGATTATCTATTTAGCATATGATCTAATCCTTGAAATACATTCTATATTCTCTCTTTGATTTTGAGTGCATAGTAAGACATGTTGTATCAGTCAACAAATCCTAAGCCTCATTCATTCATTATGATATCCACCGTAAGTTTGACATTCTAAAGCAAAACTTACATGGTTGATAAAGTCTTACTCCCAGATCTTGCGTTGGCTTGTGAGCCAGGATTTACGGCCTTGTTTTTGCCTAGTTATGGAGAGAAGTTAGGTAACCGCTGATTGTTGGCTTGTCGATATAGTATTTACTCGTCTGGCGAACTTGGGTTTTGGTTGCATGGTTGACATTTACATTTAATACGATACGTTATTCTTTTATGTCGTTTTATTATTTTAGTTGTGTGTTATATAAGAATATGGCTATATTTGGTAAAAACTAGCTGATAAGCTAGCTTATAGCTTATACATGATTTTCGAGCTATAGCTGAAAAGCTAGCTTATATGATAAAAATGTTTGGTAAAATTAGTTGATAAGCTAGCTGAAATAATATTTCAATCGAGCTTATTTGAAAAGCTACCAAAGATGCTTATGAAATCAACTCGAGCTTTTAAAAAAACTCGTCCTACTAAGCGAAACTTATTTGAATATAGGAAGCTTATAAGCTAACCAAATAAGCTACCAAACATAGCCTATGGCTATATTTCACTCGAGCTATATGGATCTTGGCAGATTTTTTTTTCTTTTTACCTCTTACAAAAATCACAAGCTGCTCATTGATTAGGGCATTAATGGTGTCAAGTAGAAAGGTTCATGGCTCACTGGTTTCATCAAGTTTCAAATGCACAAAACAAAAACTCCTTCATTACTTGTTCATATTCTTCATTTTGAGACACTTTCTATTCTTCTCTTTTCCTTTACTATCACCAACATTATGACGAACCCATCATCAGCCACCGCCGGAAACTGGATTCCGGCCGCCATTATAATAGTCCTGGTGGCGGCAGCAAACACAGATAGTTCAAGCTTAGCCGGAAAAAAAACCTTGACGAACGATAATAATGTGAATAAAGTTTTCAGCCCTTTTAATCGTCCTCCTACGAGTGGTGCTGAGATCGACCGTAAGTATGGTGTCGAGATGCGACTTGTTCCGAGTGGGCCCAATCCTCTGCACAATTGACTCATCATGCACAAACATTATTTCTGGTAATCATCCTTCTGTAGTTCTTTTTCTCTTTCGTGATTTTCGAGCATTGATGTTGAAGCTCTATTATGGTAAAAATGTTTTGTTTGAAATGTTTCTGGGTTTTGTCAGCATCAATTAAATACAGTGGATTATATAGTAAAAATTCAGTTTGGATCCTGGTAAAATTGTGTAGCAATTTTCTGCTCTTTTAAGTAGTTCTGAATTTTGACTTTTGTTCTAATCTTCAATTTTAGGAGCTTACATCCACTTATTTCCTTACATTCCTGCATAATGATCTGTTTGCATTCAAATTTTTCAGTCTCTACATATGAATTTGATTTACTTTTCCTTATTTAATCGTAATATAGCATGGAAATAATTGTTTAAAATTCGGCCTTAAGAAAAAGGAAATGTGGTTGTTATAGACCACCATATATGCTAGTTTTATGTCGTTGAATTTAGGTGAAAAAGAGGTCATGCAGAATCGAACCAAAAATGTTAATTATTCGAGCATACATTTGTTCTCGAGCTTGTTCGTTTAATTTTTCATCAAAGTCCGTGTTCAAACAAATGATTTTGTAATGTTTTATCTCTTATCTTTCATTCGGTGAGCTTTTGCAGCAGCGCTTTTCAAATGTTGTAATTTTCTGTTGTCTCCAAGTAGGCTGTTATTGCTCCTCTAATAGAACGGGCAACCATTCATGGAAGAATCACATACTGATGGAGGTTGAATGTACAAGTATAACATTACATGGAAGAATCACATAAAGAAGGTTGAATAAGAAAACTTGGAATGTATATTTTTAATAATAAAAAAACAATCATACTTATATTCGTTTAGAATTTTGATTAACATTTTGAGACTTTAAAATTTGAAATTTTTTAGTAGTTTTAGATTTAGAAGTAGGGGTGAGTAAAATTGAGTCGAAACCGAAAAACAGAGTCGAGCCGTGCAATTTGGTGTTGTTCGGTGCAATTGTTTTAATGTAAAAGAAATTTCATTTCAGTTCGGTTTTTCCTACATTGTAGTGCGATGCAGTTATAGTTTTTTTATAAGCTCTGTTCACGGGTTTGTTCGGTTCCGTACAGTTTTGCATCGAACCGCACCAAATTGAATAAATGTATAGAAAGATCGTATGATAAAACTGAAAATCTAGTGGAACTATGCATTTCGATGCGGTTCGAATATTTCACTGTAAAAAATTTAGTTAAATTAGTTCGATTTCAGTTCGATTTTTTTTCTAAATTGAGGTGCAGTTCTATTATTTTATTTTATGGTTTCTTGAAAGTGGAAACTATGCTTGGTAAAAACATTGAGTTTGTTTGGAAACAATTCTCAAATGGACTTTTGCATTGGAAACAATTCTCAAATGGACTTTTGGATGCAAAAGTTCATCTGGATAAATAACTCATGTTTGGTGATAAATTTTAAATGGACTTAATGCACAAATTGATTCTTCACAAAGTTCATTCTATAGAAGTCAAAAAATTGAGACTTTCGAAAAAGTCCATTTTGTGGAAGTCAATTTTTGATAAATGGACTTTTACAAAAGTGTTCCCAAACAAGCACGTAGTATCCAACTATCCCAACAATAAACACATTGTACCATAAATTTCCTTTTAAATTCGACAAAATTTGGCAAGAACATGTACAATATTGGGACGAAAACTGAAACAATGTGGATTGGCATCTGATACACATATATCAGCAAATCCTTTTATTCAAAGAAAAAGAAAAAAAAAAAGTACATTTTCTTCCTCTTCTTTCCATAGCAACTTCAGCTTCTTATCTCCTTTATTTAACCCTGTAGAATTGGAAAATAAGCGGAGGTTGAAGACGAAAACCAAACATTGAAAAGTCATGATTCTCAACAGCAGAACTTCTACGGCATAATACGTTACATTAAAATTACAACTGTCTGCTGAACCTAGACAAATTTCTTGCAAAGCAGGGTATATTGTAGACAAACTGGCCACTGAAACCAAGCATGAATTGGTTAATAATATCATTCTTTTCCATGCCCGCTTCACTTAAAATATGTTGGGCAAAAATTCGGTCAATCCAGACATTGATGACAAGCAGAACGACACGAGGCAATTGTAAAAAAATCAACTAGCGTTCGGCATACGGAAAAAATGGGCATATACACCATCTACAAGCAGAAGTACAAACTCACTTCAGATGAATAAAAAACATTTAGAGTAAAATATACTACTAACAAGAAATGAGTCAAGGAAAAAAAAAAAAAAATCAACTAAGAATAATTATTTTCCGCACTCTAAAGTTATTTTCTGCAAACTTCACAGAATTTCCTGATAAGAACAGTAGTACTAACTACCAGTAACTACAGATAAATATAAAATAACAGAGCGTAACTTCAACTACACATATATATCTCCGTTCACCGGTAGATTTTTCACACAATAAGAACAGAGTTTTTTTTTTCGGGAACAAGACATCACTTGCATATAAACACCCACTCCACGCAGACCTTTTCCATTGTGAATTCACAATTCCATTCCAAATATTTCTTCAGGTTTGTCAAAAATCCGCCCTACAATTATCATATTAAGTTCTAAGATAATTTCGACTATGCATTTTTGCACACACTAACATGTCCACACAACTTTGTTTGATGATTTATTGTGGATTCACACAATCTTCTCATCTCTTCATATATACCCAGATGAACTGTATAGGCCGGCAGAAGCAATTTATAAAACGAGGTAAACTAGTTATTACTAGATAGGTTGACATACGAATATGATTCTCAAGATGATGGTGATCCCGTTTTAGCTACTTTCATCTTGGAAAGGGACAAGCATGATGGTGATCCCGTTTTATTCAAAACATTAGTAATGCCAAAGAGTATCTAACTTAACGTACTTATTTAGTGGATTGCTTCTTGTAGCTCGTCTGGATATAAATCATTAGAGTGAGAGATTACCCAGAATAAATCAAGCTCAGTTTTTTCTATAGAGTACTAATTGGTGACCATAAGTACTTATGTGCACCAAATGAATAGGTTTCCATCAAATGTAGCTTCTCTTAACAACCAACGAAAATCCCATGATCCCCAATAATCTCAAGCTCAGGAGATAAGAAATTATCCAATCATATGATTCTTTGAAGTATAAAACAAAAATCATCAAACACCTATGTTTGGTGTGTACACTCTGTGTGGACAATTTTTTTATACCATCATGAAAACAGACATAATGAAACAAAAGAAAACCATGAATTACATTCAAAGCTGAAAGATAAAACCAGAAAGTGTCTGTTCCCCGACAATAACAAACACAAACCAGCAAACTGAAAAAATCATCAGCTTTTAGTGTTCTAGGCAAATCAAGAAACACAAATAAGCTAAAACAAACTGGAAAATTCAGACTATGCAGAAAACCCTAAGAAAAAATCGAACTGACCCGTTAGCCACAATTGAGCACAGCCGAGAATGTGATATCATGACTGCTTGATTTCCATGATGTTCTTGATGGAGGGAGAATAGAGAGAGTAGATGACAGCTTGGCGTTTGGCGACGGCGAGTTGCGCCTGGCCGTCCGCAAAGGCGGCGGTGGCCTCGGCAGGGTCGGAGAGGTTGCGGTTGGAGCGGAAGGCGTCGATTGTGCGGCGCTTGGCGTACTCCCTGATGTTGTAGTCCGTAAACCCACGCGCCGTCCGTATAAGAGAACGGTAGAGTGCGAGCACTTCCCGGTGCGCAGGTGCCGACGCCATCGAAACTTACTTGTTCTGTTCTCTTCACTTCCTTTGCAAGTCCGTAAGTTTTAAGCTTTTGGTACGGTTTATTTATTCCTTCAGCAATCCAACGCTTTTATTAGTTTATGCACACTATTTAACGTTTTTCGCTCAAGTTTGTATAGGTTGCATAAATAATATAAAAGTGAAATACTAAGATCATTCCGTCGGGTTTGTAACCGGTAGATCATCTGCAACTAGGGGTGTTCATCGGCCGGTTCGGTCGACCGACCGAACCGAAGAGAATTGGGAATTTTGCATATGTTATTTTTTTATTTTTTTAATCAATGATTCAATAAAAGGTGTATGTTTTAGTTGTGAGAATTGAGAATGTTTTGATCTTGTGGTTGTGAATTATTTGGGCCCAGTAAACAATCTTAAAAAAATATATATATTTTTTTTTTTGTAAAAACTCTGAAGAACAAATCAATCTTGCATTTTCTTATTACAACTAGTACAATACTCGTGTATTATACGAGTGCTTGTTAAAAAATTATTCTTAAATTTTAAAATTAATAAGAAAATTATATTAAATTTAGTTTACCTTTTTACAAAAAAAAAAATATATTACTATATATTTTAGAATGATATGTGTTACTTATGACTTACATGTGTTATATTATATTAGTTTTTATAACTTATATCATATAACTACTTGAAATATAAATATATTAGTTGATAAATAATTTTATTTTTCTAATTCATATTAAAAATAATTATATTATTGTTATATATTAGTTGATAAATAATTTTATTTTTCTAATTCATATTAAAAATAATTTTATTATTGTTATAAAGATAAATATAAATTATTTTTTTTATACATACAATATGGATGT